CTCACAGCAACCTCAAACCCCTGGGCTCAAGCGATTCTCTTGCCTCAGCCTCCTGAGTAGCTGGGACTATAGGTACCTGCCACAATGTCCAGCTATTTTTAGGGATGGGGTCTTGCTCTTGCTCAGGCTGGTCTTGAACTCCTGAGCTCAAGCGATCCACCTGTCTCTGCCTCCCAGAGTGCTGGGATTATAGGCGTGAGTCACCGTGCCCAACCTACAATGTTTTTAGAATATGCTCCTTGAATGAAGCACTGATTGATACACAGTACAGTATGGATGAATCTTAAAAACATTACGTAAGTGAAAGAAGCCGGTCACGGCAGGTCACTTACAGGGTGATTCTGTTTGGGTGAGGTAACCTTAACAGGCAAATGTGCAGAGACAGGAAACAGGTGAGTGCTGCCTGGGGCTGGAGAAATGGAGGGCTTGTTAGGCAACAGCTAAAGGGCAGGGAATTTCTCTCTAGGGTGATGAAAATATTCTAGAATTGATTATGAGGATGTGAGTCACAATGAAAAACCATTGGATTGTTTACATTAAACGGGTGAGTTGTAAGATTTGTGAGTAATCTCTCAACACAGTAGTCCCGCCTTACCTGTGTTTCCACTTTCTGAGGTTTCAGTTATCCACAGTCCAAAAATAGGTGAGCACAGCACAATAGGATATTTTGAGGGAGAGGGAGGGAGGGAGAGGCCGCCGTCCCTAACTATTATGACATTATACTGTTGTGTTTTATTATTAGTTTGTTAGCCTCTTACCATGCCTACTGTAGGAATTAAACTTTATCATAGATATGTGTATATAGGAAAAAACAGAGGTCAGTACTATCTATCCACGGTTTCAGGCATCCCCTGCGGGGCTTGGAACGTATCCCCAGTGGGTAAGGAGGGACTACCGTACATCTGTAACCAAAAATCCTATGCTTCTTAGGATCAAGAAAACGAAAGAATAGTACAATGGGCGTGCAAGGGCTAGGAGAGAGATTGTCAGGCAGGGCGGGATCTAGAAAGGCTCTCGGGGTAGGAGGGGGCGCTGATAATGTGGGCGGGGATTGTGGGGGTCCTGGCAGAGTCCACGAGGCAAAGAATGAGGAGCAAGTGGAAGCCGCAGGAAAGGCGGAAGGAGCGGAGGTGGGAGGGCTGGAGGGGCAGGCGGCCACGTGGAGAAGGAAACAGGCTGCTGCTTTAGTACACAGGAGCCTTGACAGTTCTCCCAAGTGCCAATCTATAAAACGCTGGCAACTCCATACACAGAGGAAATTCATTATCAAGCCTTCCTCTAGCCCCAGGACACTGTTACTGACCCAACAGGCAGTCAAGTCTCCCTTGCAACTTGGAGCCAGATGACGAAAAGGTTAGACAGGCAAAGGGCATTGCCACCGGAAGCTGGATGTTGAAACAGATACTGGGAAAAGCTGGGGTCTCTGACAGCGGCCAAGAGATCCCAAAGGTCACACCAGCAGAGCCAGGAAGCTGAGAGAAAGTCACACGAGAGGAACCAGGCTCACACTTCTCCAGAGGAGCTGAAAATAAACCGGGTAGGGGTCGGTGTGCGGAGGAGCGGAGGGAACACAGTCCGCGTCCCCAGCTGAGCGGAGCCAGCCCAAGAAGAAGGAGCCCTGGGGCTCAAAATGCTACAGTCTGGGGGCCAAAGTCTGAATTTGTGTCCCCTGAACTAACTGGCATTAGGCTGGGGCTAAGGACAGTGCAGGGCACGGGGAGGCACAGGCCAGGACTGGAAAGGCAGGATTGCTGGGCGATTCCCCTGAGCCCTTTGGGAAGGGAGTTGGGCCAAGCCCGGGGCAGAGGGCAGGGGCAGCCCCTGCTTTTAGGCAGGGGACTTGAGGCAGTTCTGCTAATGTAGCCCATGTCCAGGAGCAGCGTGGAGGAGTGTGGGGTGGGGGACAGCAGCCGGGATGCCCCAGCATGCTGGGCCCAGTCTTTTAGTAAGCGGCGTCTGTGAGTATAAGCAAAGGAAAGTGGGGAGGCGAGCTGGGGTCTGCGTGAGCCTCACTTATCTCTTCCGTTTCCAGTACAGCTTCAACGTTTTAAGGGAGCCTGGTCACTCAACTTAAACAGTGTTAACAGCAGAGTCCTGTTACCCTTTCCAGAAGTGCCACCCGGATTCCCAAGGTGTGCCGAGTGTGGGGAAAGGCTGCAGCGGAGGGACAGCTCCTCTCACGGAGTGGCCGTGTTCAGGCCGCCCCACGAGGAGCGCAGGGGCAGGCGGGGGCTCTGAGCTCTTGGCAGTGTGCACCAGTGGAATTGAAGTGTTTGTTTGTGGCAGTGTAGACCCGCCCACTCCTACAAAGGGTGGGAGGCCACTGCCTTGCAGTTTGTGCCTGTTAGTCCTCTCTGCTTTTAGAGATTAAGTGCTGAGGGACGTCAGGCAGTCTGGCTTTTTCCAAACAAAATCTGAAACCCTCTCGTCTAGGTCAAACCAGAAAGAGTAGTTACAGGAAGAGCCGCTTGGCCAACCCTGCAGATCTGATAAGACTCTTGTTTTCTTCTAAGGTCAGGAGAGGCCTGTGCCCTGCCCTATTCTGCCCCATCGCTTAGCTCTGCTCCTCTCAGCACATAGCCTGTGACATCTGGGCTCTGTTCCAGCTAAAGCCGAGACAGTAGAACTGAATGGGGCAGAGGAGCCTTAGTCTGGGAGGGCTATGGGGGTTTTCAAGTAATGTGTCTAAAAGTGGACATTTCCTATCAAAATGGAAGGCAGGGCTGAATTCCAGGGTGCCTGGAATCCACTTGGGCTCAGCCCTACAGACTCACTTGCTCAAAGATTCCAATTGTGTAAGGTCTGAGATCAGTGCAAAGATCTGTACGTTGAGAGGCACCCAGACCACACTTTCAGACATGCTGAATCAGAAGCTAAGTATGAGACACCACACAGCTCCTAAGAGTCACCTGCCTCATTCCCTGCAGAGGACACTGCTCCTGGTGAGCTGCCCACACTGACCACATCCTGCTGTTCACCCGGACACTGCCCCTTCTACCCAGCCTTCCTGCACTGCCTGCAGCATTTCTGGTGGACACAAGAAGACGCACCTGCCATCCTCTCCCCAGTCTCAGTGGGCTACTCGTGCAGTGCCCTCCCCAGGCTTCACCCCCTCTCCTTCCACCTGTCAGACCCCCCCTCCTCAAGATCCTGTACCAGCTCTTCTGTGAAGCCTTCCTTTAAGTTATCACATAACAGTAATTCCTCTGCCCTCTAAACTCAGACACTCACGTCATATTTAGCCTTGTTCGTGTGCTCTGCTCTGAGTGCACTTGTCTATTCTCTCTGCTACACTGAGTGTCAGGATGGCACAGGCCACACATTATATCCTCCATACCATCTGGTTTTGACATCCACAGCACAAGAGAAAAATATTCCCTCCAACTCTCCAGAGCTTGGAGATGAGAGAAATAAGGTTGCCTCTCCAGATTCTCTTCCATTGGTTTTGCCAACCTGGCACAAAAATCCACACACAAAAATCAGTGGTCATGTCACCAAGGTTGAGGCAATCCATGTATTCCATCTCCCTGGACACTATGGTCAGTTTGGGGTTGGGCACATAACCCAAGGCAGGCCAGTAGAATTTAATTGTAGGAGTATTTACTGAACTACTGATAGAAAGAGATGCTCTCAGGCTGGGTGCAGCGGCTCTTACCTATAACCCTAGCACTCCGGGAGGCTGAGGCAGATGGATTGCTTGAGCTAAGAGGTTTGAGACCAGCCTGAGCAAAAGTGAGATCCTCTCTCCAAAAATAGTTGGAGGGCACCTGTAGTCCCACCTACTTGTGAGGCTGAGATAAGAGGATCACTTGAGCCCAGGTGTTTGAGGTTTCTGTGAGCTATGACACTGTGGCACTCTATACAGGTTGACAAAGTGAGACTCTGTTTCAAATAAAATAAAAGAAATTTAAAAAGAGATGCTCCCTTTCAGCTGGCCTTGTCCCTGGGAGATATGTGCCTGGAGCTGCAGGGGCTACTGACTGGCAGGAGCCAACTTGGAAATGGAGCTGAAATGGAGGGGAGCCGATCTAAGGTCTAGGTTGGTGACAGTGTTTGAACCCATGGGTCCACTTGTGCCAGAAACTTCATAAGTTCTGAGTTGTGTTTTCCATCCCTTATGATTAAAAGAACCTAATGACCTCCCTCCAACCAGTATAATCTATACACTGCAGGTGAATGCACTAAGCTATCTCCCTACCAATGTGTAATGGGAAAATTTGACACTGAACTTCAATAAAGGAAAAGTAGGCATTTCTAGGGTGTTAGGACTAGAATGCCATGGTAATTTAGTACTTAAAAATGTAATGAATTGCATAGTGGCCTCAATAGTAGCTATTGTGGGAACAGAAGGGAGATGGTCCTGCCAGGTCATGGAGCACAAAAAAGTCAGAATTGGCAACGCCCACCCCAGCTTGGATAAGGGGCAAATGCGGCCAGGCTCACGGACTCAACATACTTCATCAGGACCATCCCTGGTGCAGACCAGCCAACCACAGCCTTTTCTTATTCAAATTTCAGTGTTCCATAAGCAACTTTATGCTGATAACTTCACCTTAAGTTGGTGTCCAGGGAGAAAAGATGCTTATCCCATCGGTATCAAAGTGGCGTGAAACTTCGAATTCTCATTGTGAGTAAAGAACCTGGGTTTCTGGTTCTGGACACCAGGCTCCACAAGCTTAGTTAATTCTAGCTTTTCTCTCATGTTGTTAGGACAAAACCAGATGCCTGGCCCAGGAAACTGAGTCTTACGGGGAGCCCTCTACACACAGGGTTACAGTGTCTATAGTTTATTTTAAGATTATTTCAGCATTTACAAAGTAATAATATATGTGGGTTTCTTAGGTAAAGCCAATGCCCTGGGACTACTCCACAATGCACACTGTGGGTGGCACCCCGTAGCTCAGTGGGTGGGGCGCCGGCCACACACACTGAGGCTGGTGGGTTCAAACCCGGCCCAGGCCTGCTAAAACAACAATGACAATTGCAACAAAAAAATAGCCGGGCATTGTAGCTGGTGCCTGTAGTCCCCGCTAGTTGGGAGGCCGAGGCAAGAGAATCGCTTAGGCCCAAGAGTTGGAGGTTGCTGTGAGCTGTGACACCATGGCACTCTACCCAGGACGACAGCTTGAGACTCTTTCTCAAAAAAGGAAAAAAAAGCATGCACACTTATAGCCCAGGTGTCTCGCAGACTATCAGAAAGCACCTGCTACCCAGCCAGTCTCCGTATTGTCAGGAGTCAGCCAACAGTTCCAAACAAGCGCCCTCAATGTCGAGATGGGTCTGGTGGGGGGCGGGGGGGAAGTAGTGATGTTTTACAAGCATCACTGTTGATATTAGATATGGGCTTTCTAGGGTGAGATTAAAAGTATTTCAGGTATGTAAAGGGGATGTAAAATACTGTAAAAAGTGCTTGCCCAATTACATTACATGGCTCATACACTCCAGGGCAAGGATTTGAGCCCAGCCCCCCCCACCACCACCACCACCACAAACCCATGCTCTGGCCCGTGTGGTTGTGGAATCTCTGGCTACAGAATTTTCACCAGAATAGCAGATCTGGATTCTACAATCAATGATTATACTCTGCTTTAATACATAGACTCAACCCCCTCCCAAATTTTCCAAGAGATTTAATATTCATGCCTACTTCTACCCCTCTTTGGAGAGCTCCAGATTTCTCGTAAAAAGCTGCACTAACAGAGTCTGCTAGGACCCCTGTCTGCATGACCTTTACTGTGCATATATATCTGTGTGTGTGTGTGTGTATATATGTAGACAGTATATATATGTAAAATGCATATATATATATATATTTTAAATAAAGATGGGGTCTCAGTCTTGCTCAGGCTGGTCTCAAACTCTTGACCTTAAGAAGCTATCTTCCCACCTCAATCTCCCGGAGTGCTGGGCTGCAGGTGTGAGCCATCACATCTGACCTGCATGACCTCTAAATGTTGACCATTTGGGGATCCTTCCAGATCCCAAGGCCCAGAGAAGACCCAACCTTTCCTCAGACAGTGATGGTTGTTCAGTTTTTTAAAATTTTCCCACTGGATTGCTATTGCTGGCAACTGATTTAGAAAATAAGCAATACCATGCTTTCTAAAGGGCATTACATAGGAAACAGATGTTCAAAGTCAGCTTGGGTTCATGTTCTTTTGTGGAGGATAATTTCTTGGCTCACCTCTCTGCCTGAGGCAGTGCCACCCAGTGGGTGCTTGGTGGGGATTGAATCCCAGCAAAGCAACTGAGGACAAGAAACCTTCTGAGCAGGGCATCATGAGGAGACAACCTCTGGCTCCAGCAGGCAGCAGGCTGGGCCTCAGGAGAAGCCAGCCTTGGCCATTGCGTAGTCACACTGGCTGCCCATCTCTGCTAGCTGAGAGCCCCGAGCCTTCCGTCGGCTTTCCGCATGAGGGATGGCAGCAGGCTGGCAGGCCCATGCACAGTGGTGACCTGAGGGTGTGCAAAGAATGGCTCAAACTGGGGGAGACTCTGTAGGAAGAAAGAATTTGGATGGTCAAGAATCTTCCAGTGTTTCAGAACCTGGGATGAGAAACTGTTCCCAGTGGACTGGAAGCCGTAGAAGATAACTTGCATGTCCCCCCATTTGCCAAGGGACTCCGGGGC